ACAATCAGAGTGAGGGGGCCGAACGGTCATTCATTGTTCCTGGGTGCGTTGCTGAAGTGAGAACCCTTGGTGAGGGTTCTGCTTGTTGCGTTGTTGGTGCTGTTGTTATTGTTGTTGGTGTTGTTGCTGTTGGTGTTGTTGTTGTGTTTGCGTTTGTTGTTGTTGTGTTTGTTGTCGTTGTGGTTGTGGTTGTTGTTGTTTCTGTGATTTTGGTGGTGATTGTTATTGTTATTGTAGTTGCTGTTGCTGTTGTTGTTGCTGTTGTTGTTGAATTCTCACTACTGAAGAATAATTATTGTTGATCCCCCCACCGGTGCATGCTGTTTTTTTCTCACTCTGTTTTTTGACAAGGAAAGTCTTGATGTTCATACTGGGCCCCTGACCCCCGCGTTACCACAACAACGGCTCCCGCCTGAGACTTCCTTACAATTTAGCCGGGACCCCCGCTCTCACCCGAGATTTCCTCGCATTTGATTCATGAATCGCGCTCTCGCTTGTGACTTCCTTACAATTTACTCAGCAATCGCTCTCCCGGCGCTCTGGAGTCGCGCTCTCGCTGGAGACTTGCTTGCAACTTACTGAAGAATACCCTTGCGTTGGAATTTCCTGCACTTTGCCCAAGAGCCGCGCTCCCGACACCCAGGCACCCAGGAGTCGCGCCCGTTGTGGCCCCATGTGCATGCCCTTCGTGGCCCCGCTGTCGCCATTTGTGTCCCCCTCACTGTCCTACGAGGCCCAGTTGCTACCCTCAGTTGCCCCATAGTTGCCTTCTGTGGCCCCGCATTATCTGCACTTCGTGGCCCCCGCTCGTTCGCGCTCTTTGTGGCCCCATACGCATTCCCTTCGTGTCCCCGCTGTCGCCCTTCGTGGCCTACTTCGTGCCCTTCGTGGCCCTGCTGTCGTTCTCTCTCGCTTTCGCTTTCGCTCGTCGTCGCCGTCGTCGTCGTCGTCGTCGCCGTCGTCTTCGACGTCGTCGTCGTCGTCGTCGTCGTCGTCGTCGTCGTCGTCGTCGTCGTCGTGGTCGGTCCCCTGTCCGTCCCTCTTGGGGTCGGGTCGACGGTCCGCGGCCGCCCCGCCGATCAGCGCTGCCGCTGGCCAGGCCGACGGTCCGCGGCCGCCCCGCCGCTTGCCGGGGCCCGGCCTGCAGGGAAGAAAGGTATACCCCCTAAAAGGGTTCGATCGAAGACGAAGAGGGCGGGTATCGAGGGTTTGGGAAATACGCGTTATTGGACACTCGAGCATATAAGGGCGAACAGTCTTAAAATTATTGTTGTCGTTGTTGCTGTTGTTGTTGTCGTTGCTGTTCCAGTTCGCGGGCGCGGGGCCGCCCCTGGGGGTCCCAGGACGACAAGCACCCGGGCAAGGTCCTGGGCAAGAGTCCCTGGCAGGTCCCGGCAGGGTCCCGGGCGGAGGAGGATGATGAGACGTAGGATGAGGCGGCGGATGAGGAGGAGGAGGAGGAGGAGGAGGAGGATGAGGAGGAGGAGGAGGAGGAGGGAAGGAGGAGTAGGAGGAAGGAGGAGGAGGAGGAGAGGAGGAGAAGGAGGAGGAGCAGGAGGAGGAGGAGGGGGAGGAGGAGGAGGAGGGGGAGGAGAAGGAGGAGGAGGAGGAGGAGGAGCAGGCTCCCAAGAGTGCTCCAGGAGCGCTGCAAGTGGCCTCCGACAGAGCTCATCATGGTCCGAGACGGTCCAAGAGCGATCCAAGACGCCAGAGATGGCCTCCAGACAGCCCAAAGTGCCTTCAAGACGCCCCAAGAGGCCTCCAAGAGACCTCCCAAGAGGGCCCACAGAGGCAAACACGTGTAATTTTCCTGCAGTGTTTTCGGTTTACCGGCGCTCCAAGACGGCCCAAGAAGGTTCCATGATCGCCCCAACACGGCCCAAGAGGCCTCCAAGAGCGCCCAAAACGGCTCCAGAGGACCCCAAGACAGCCCCAGAGCCCAGAGACCTCCAAGATGGCCGAAAAGACTCCCAAGACGGCTCCAAGAGCGGCCCAGACGGCGGACCCGAACGGACATGTCGAGCTTTAGGCGCACGGAGGTCACCTTTAGGCCCCAAGAGGCCCCAACGAAGCCCCAAGAGACCCAGAAATACAGCCAAGAGGCCCCCGAGAGTCCCCCAAGAGGCCTCCTTCCGTCCCTCTTCCAGAGACCTCCTGCTCATCCTCATCCCCCCTCCTCCTCCTCCTCCTCCTCCTCCTCCTCCTCCTTTTCGCTCGCCGCGAACACACAAACATGTAGCACCAGTGAAGCAAGATGGGCTGGTGGAGAGAGCGAGGAGATTAACGAACAATTAAAAGAGCACGAACAATTTTCAACTTTCTTTTTGCATTACCGCTCTTCAATAATTTCTCCTGTCGAGGGACATGCCCGACTTAGCGGCATTGGCACCGCTCCTCCTCCGACCCGTCGGTGCCCCCGGCGGGCGACGCGCGACGAGGCGGACGACCACGCCGATGCGATGCGACCGCGGGCCCACCGAGCCGGGGCCCCCGACGAGTCCCCCCGGGGGCGGCGGCCTGCGCCACGGAGGCCTCCGGCGACGCCAGGGCCTCGTACACGACGCCGCTGGGCTGCTCGGGGCTGCCCAGCAGGTAGACCTGCGGGTGCCCCATCGTCCCCAGCTCTGCAGGGCGAGGGCGAGGAAGAGGTCGAGATGGAGGGAGGAGGACGAGGAGGAGGAGGAGGAGGAGGAGGAGGAGGACAAAGAGGAGGAGGAGGTGGAGGTGGAGGAGTTGGAGGGCGACGAGCGCGGAGGAGGCAGAGAGGGGCGAGGAGAGCGAGGGCGAGATTATGGAGGTGGCTGCGCTCCTGCCTGAAAGGGTGCTGCTGGCAGCCCGGGCTGCCCTTATAGGTTTCCGCACCGCTCTGTGGCCCCTCGGACCCTGCCTGCGGGTCGCGCGTGAGGGGACTCCGCAACCAGCCGCGCCGTCCCGAGGTAGCCGTGTGCCACCTCTCGCCATCGCTCGGACGTCTATTCCCCAGTGTTTTTGTTTGGTTTCGTGGGTGGTCTTTTCGCCAGATGGTCAGGGATGCTCCTCGATGGTCCTCGCTGAAGGCAAAATGCACACGTCCGAGCGATGCCAAGACCTTGGGCAAGGGGCCGCCCTCGGCGGCGCCCGAAGAGTCACTGCATCGGCCTTGCAAGACGTGCTGCAGCGGACTTTTCTGCGTGGGTTTTTGCCCGAAGAGCGGCGGGCGAAAAACGAAGTGAATCTCGCGTGGTTTCTTTTTGGTCTGCGGTCCTGGCCCAAAAACATCCGCACGAAGTTCGCCTCGAAATCGGGAAGGACACTCGGGGCCCCCCCTCTCGATTTCCGAACGAAATGCGCTCTGCGATGTTGGCGCGATGATCAGAGTGACTACCCAGCCTTCGAAGCGAGTTCTGGAAGAGGCCTCCGGTCTCCGGAGGGGCCACAGGCAAAGTCACCTCAACGTCATGGCTCTGGCATGAGCGCGGGCACGCGATCGGGGAGCTCGGGGGTGCTCGGGCGGGCGTTGGCGTCGAGTCCCGCCAGACTGAGGCCACGGAGGCGCGGCAGCCTCCAGCCCGCCCAAAAGGAGCCCGAACAACCTTTTTCTTAGCCTGCCGGCATCCCATCCCTGGCGCCGCCTTCCTCCTCTGAGCATGCCCCCTCGACTGGGGGAGGTGGATGGAGAGCGCGAGGCTCTCTTCTGGAGCAGGATTGTGGCATGGACAGCCGACTTGTGATATGTGCTGCGCATGGCTTACCTAAATGCTGCGCCTTCCACTCGCAAGTGTAATCGCAAGTTGTAACCCGACATCGCTGAACTGCAGCTACAGGAAGCGACATAAACATTGACTTGCAAAGGGCCGCCAGGAGTTTCCAACGTTTCTAGTTATACCGATTCCAAGGTTTCTAGCTCTGACGCCTTCTGCTTCTCAAGAGTTCTCTTGGAGGGGACTCAACATATCAGGAGGGGAAAAAACACACAGACACTGTCAATCGTCGACCCCCAAGAAAATATCGGAAACTTGGGGAAGTGGGAGGGAAAACGAAAATCCCCAAAAATATGCAAACATATGGGGCATCCTGGAATTTGTGTATCCGTTAGTATGTCTCTTGGCCCCTTCAACATGAGCTGTTCGGGGCCGGACACAGCCCGACCACGGGTCGACCCTCCAGCACAGCCAGCATCGAAAACTGGTGTAGAAATCGTGCCCCGCCGCTCGGGCCCCGCGTGCGAGCGGCCCCTGTTGCAGACCACGGCGATCCCGCGGTAACAAGTCCTCATCCCTGTTCTCGTCCTCCCGCCTCGACACCTTCCCAAGGCTGGATGTTCGTCTCGAGCCTTTGCCTGACGGCCCCAGGCTCCGGCAAGGGCCCCCCCCCCCCAGGGGCCGAAAACTGTCGAACACCGAGGTCTTGGGGAAACGAAGAGATACAGGCACCGCTGCTTCCTGGACCTCACCCAGGGGTGCGTGCTCACCTGGGCGTCGAGGCGAATCCAGCCGTGGCGACGACGGAAGGGTAGTGGCATCGGTACCTCTTCCTCCTCTGGGTGCCTCTGGGTGTACGGAAGAACACTGCACAAGCATGGAGCTCCGCGCGAATTTCTTGGATCCTTCCTTCTCCGGGTGCCTCGGGGCGTGAGGAAGAACACTGCACGAGCTCGGAGCTCCGCGCGTATCTCTTGGATCGGCGCTGGGCCCCCTAGTGGACGCCGCAGGCGCCGTCAGGGGGGCCTGGCGCAGATCCAAGAGATCTGCGCGAAGCTTCGAACGCTGAATATGCACTCTTGTTCCTCGAGTGCATCTTCCTCCTCTGAGGTCTGGCTCTCCTTCATCGGAGAGAACGTGAGACTCGGGTTTGGGGGGCTCGAGGTGGCCTGACCAGGCCGTCAAGCAAATGACGAGACCCGATCTGAAATTTGGCGCGAGCTCCCGCTGCAATCAAAGCACGAAAATTGGACCGTCAAAATCCAAGTCAGTCTCGTCAAAAAACGTCGGCAAACCCGAGTTCCGGCGGATTCGAGTCTTACGCTTCCCCCCGAATCCAGAAGATGCCGCCGACGACGACGACCACAACGACGACGTCATCGGCGACCTGCAGGGTGATGAGCTCCAGCGCGGCGTCGACCAACGCCGGGCCCGCGATCCCAAAGCCGGCGCCCTCTAGCAGCGCCCAGCCGCGCTCCCCCTGCCTCGCCAGGTCCACCTTCAGGGGGCCCACTCCTCCTTTTTCCTGATGCTGCTTCTCCTCCTCCTCCTCCCCCCCCCTCCTCCTGCGTCCTACTCCTCCTCCGCCTCGTCCCCTCCTCCGTGCGCACGCAGTAGGCGCTCATGAGATCCCCACGAGCGCCCGATCGCCTAGAGCTAGCGACCGCTACGCCGACGGGGCCCGAGGGGGAGGGAAGGACGAGGAGGAGGAGCCTGCCATTTCTTGTGCCGTTCGCCGAGCGTTGGCCAACTCAGGGCCAAGGCCGCTGCGTCTCCTGCTCCCTCCTGCTCCTCCGTGCTCCCTGCGGGCCTCTGGGCCGCAAAGATGCGCTGCCAGGCGCGGGCGTTGTGCGGAGCAGGCTGCGGTCTGGGGACCTCTCTTCCTGCTGCCCACTGCTGTTCCTTCTCCTCCTCCTCCTCCTCCTCCTCCTCCCCCTCCTCCTCCTCCTCCTCCTGCTCCGCCTCATCCTCCTACCCCAATATTTTCTACACAACCAGCTCCTCCCTGTCGCACCCCGAGGCCAGTCCGAAGGGCGGGCCGGGCGTTTCGCCTGCTACTTCCTCACCACTGGCGAGCCTGAGGCTTAAGAACTGGACACAGCTTCAGAAGTTGACGGCGGGTGCTTTCAGCATGTGGCTCTCGCCTTAGCGCCGCGTGCATTCGTTTTGAAGGATTGTGAAGTGTCACGGATGGCGGGCGGTTCGTTGTCAAAACGTTGCTATCGCCTTAGCGGCGCGCGCAATCGTTGTAGGAAATTGTAGAGAGGTTCGCGGATTGAGCGCGGTTCCTTGTCAAAATGTGGCTCTCGCCTGACCGCCGCACACATTCGTGTTAAACAGCTGCACGAGTATAACTGATTCTCATGGTTCACGTACCAGAAGCAATTCAGGACTGTCAGGGCGCAACAATTACAATGACTCGCGGCGTTGAAATCCAAAGAGTGGTGTCCTGGCACGATTCAGGATCGTCGGAACGCAACAGTCAGATTGACCCATAGCGTTGACGTCCTGAGAACGGTGCCTCGGTACGCGTCATCTTCACACGATTCTCCCAACGGGGAGTTTCCCTCAGTGGAAGTGAACCCTTCTATGGGCTTGTGAAGAGGGGTCTGGAGGGAGGGTGTATCCCAACATCCTTGATGGGTCGTGGGTCTTCACTGGTCCTACTCCTCCTCCTACTACTCCTCCCCCTCCCTCCTCCTTTCCCTCCCCTCTCTCCTCCTCTCCCTCCTCTCCCCCCTCCTCCTCCTCCTCCTCCTCCTCCTCCTCCTCCTCCTCCTCCTCCTCCTCTCCTCCTCGGCTCCTCTCCCGAACCTATCCCGCCTATCCGCGACGAGAGGGGTTGGTCACAAAGAGCGAGGCCCCGACCCGTCCTGCGGCGCGCTGGGACTAGGATGTCAAGGCGGAGTCGGCCGTGGCGACGAGACAAGATACATTCGGGTCGGGCGAAAGGGGGGGATAGCAAAGGGGGGGGTTTGAGAATCAGCTCGCGTAGCTGATTTTCCCGGCGCCTACCGGCGCCGGAGGCGGCTATGTATCGAGGAATGGGCCCCTCGGTGAGGCCGAAACCAGCTGCATGCAGCAAATTTCGTACCCCCCCCTTTCCCAATCTCCCCCTTTCGCCCGGCCCGATACATACAAGACGTAACAGGGGATATGAACCCCGATTCCAAGCTTCGTGGGGTTTTCGAATGGACCAGCAGTTTGGGGCCCACCCCTGAGATATACGATGGTGGGGCGTCCATCCTCGATAGGGGTGCGTCCGAAAAGAGCAACCTTGGGATGTATCCCAGGGTTTCAACCTTTCTGAGCTGCCAATCTTTTCGGGCGGAGCTCGGGGAATCGTCTGCGAAGACGCATTCTCCCCCAGAGACAGACAAGAAACATACAAAACAAATCCTCGAAACCTCGAGCTTTGAACCCCGATCCTCCTGTGTGGTTTCGATACGCGAGGGGGCCTGAGGTGGCGACGCCCGAAATGGGTACGGAAGCAATTGCTACGATGCCGACACCAAGACATGTTGTCGAAAACTGTCCGCGGCCGCTGATGGGCAGGTGACCTGATGTCTCCGTTGGGCAACATCCGCGTCGGCGCCGACAGCGAGACCTACCCATAGGGGACACGAACTGGTGCTCGGGTAGAATATCGACTACACAACTGATTTACCCCACATTTCATGTCCGCCGGAGAAACACAAATCAATGTAGGACGTGTGTAGATCTACAGACATGATGCACACTTCTTGTAGATCCAAAGACAAATCAAGCCTGAGGCACGTCAATTATGTAGTCAATCTCCGACTCGAGGTGTTGGTCTTCGGCCCCCTTCTTTCCACACTCGTTTCGATCATCCCGTTGTGGGCCCCCGCCGCCCCGACCTCCGCCCAGCGGCCGCCGCCCGGCCCGGTCCACGTCCTGCCAGTGCTGTGCACGACGGCGCCCAGCGGCCGCGCCACCCTCACGATCTTCCTGCTGCGGGGGTCCTCCGGCCGTGTGCGCTCGGTGATCCTCCCTCCTCTCATATCCACCCCTGGCCAGGGCCTAAGAAGAATAATACTGATAATAAGAAGAAGAAGGGTAATAGGAAGAAGAGGATACCATGAAATCCGAGAGGGATCATGGCCCTGGCCACGATACTATCTCTCAAAATCGTTACCCTCCTCCTGGCCGCCCCTGAGATCCTGGGCCCAAGATCGGCCCGGCCAGGACCAGTGCAGTTGCAAAGGCTGACGCACCCTGCCGCTCAACATGTAACGCCTTCTGCTTTCCCTCGGCTCAAGCTTGAGCTTCCACGACTTGCTCCGGATTTTCCGGGAGATCTCTGGATGTGCCTCGATGTGCCTGGGTTTACTTGGACTGACGTCGACTTCTCTTAAACTGCCCACTTACTCTGGCTTGATCCCGCAAGTCAATGGGAGACGCGTTACGCCCTCGGGGACTCCAGCCTCTCGGTGACAAGAGGCGCCCGCAGCGCGGTCCTTCGAGCGCTTGATGAACAGCACGCCCTGCGAGACCTTGAGGGGGAACGATGGGGAGGACTGGCTCTGAGGGGGGTACAGTCGGAGCGTTGACCTAAGGAACCTTAGATAAGGAACGAGGCCCCTTGATCCCAAAAGTTACGCTTCGATTCGAAAACCTCAGGAACACCCAAGCCAAACCGCAAAGCAATCAAGGAACACCGAGCCCCTCCCCGACGAAAAGGGTTCCTTCTTCAGCGCCCTTCGGGAGCGGCCAAGAGGGGGGTGTCCAAGAGGGGGGGGTGCAAATCATGACCGGCGGCATGTGCGCGGCCCAGCGGGGGGGCCAGGGACGTAATGAAACAAGAAGGGGCGCCATGAATGCTGGGGAAATATCATGGCCCCCGCCATGATATCCACCCCCCCCTAGTCCTCACCCCCCTCTTTTCCGCCCCCGAGCCCTGACTATTATGGGGACACTGGCTTGTGAAGCCGGTGAGACACATCGCCGAACGGTCGGCGACCGGCCCCCCCGACCACGAGTCCACGCGCTCCCTGGGCGGAGGGTGCGGCGCCCTGGCCCCGAGCGGCAGTGGGTGGGCGACTGGTCCTCCTCCTCCTCCTCCTCCTCCTCCTCCTCCTCCTCCTCCTCCTCCTCCTCCTCCCCCTTGGGCTTGGCTTCATGGGGGGGTCACAAACGGGGGGGTCCGAAAAGGTCCCCTTTCGTGCCCCTTTCGGGCCCCTCCCGAGCCCCAGGGGGCTCGTTCAGGTACCGTTTGGGTACCTTTTCGGACCACCCTCGCCACCACCCCATTTATGACCCCCCCATTACGCGGCGCCCAACTGGGGGTCGATGCTTCCCCCCCGGGGCCAGTCACCCCTTAGAAGAAGAAGCACAGTGAGCATAACAGCCATAACGATAAGAAGAAAGACGGCAGCAGCAGCAACAGCAACAGCAGCAGCAATGGCAGCAGCAGCAACAGCAGCAGCAACAGCAGCAACAACAAACATAAGAAGACGAGAAAACTGCAGAGCCCTCTACTTTCGGAGGTCCGCGCGGATTCCTTGGATCAGCGCTGCACCCCTCTCCCTATGTAGGGCGGAGCGGGCCAATCTGTGGCGCCGGAGGCGACGTCAGGGAGCTCCAGCGCCCACCCAAGCAATTCGCGCGGGCCTCCGAGAGTTGATGCTTCTGCATGTGTGTAGCCTCGAGGCCAGGACAAAGACAAAGGACACAAACAGACCAGCACACATCGGGAATCACTGAGATCTGGTGATTCTGAAGGACCTATCGGGCGCCGCGGCCGTTCCAAAGCGCTCCTGAACGCTGCGCGAGCGCTCTGGTCCCAGCCCCGCCCGACAGACCCCTGTCGGCGACCCTGAGTGGGGAAACCGAAAATGACCGATACGCCTACCCCGTGGACCTTTCCCCGGGGTGCGTTATGACCAGGGTTTCGAGGCGATCCAGCCGTCGCGACCAGGGTCTCCAGGCCCGAGAAGGCGAAAACGAAGGGAGGTGAGCGGTATTAGGGGCCTCCTAGATGGTGGGTTCCCCATAGATGGGGTCGGAGGATCGTACCGCATCGGCGATGCATCTTTGACGTCGGCGATGCATCGGCGACGTCGACATAGAGCACATCGGGCTCCACATCGAGCCGCATCGCCGATGCATCGGCGATGCAGAACCACCCTTCGACCCCATCTGCACCGACCCCACTCGGGAATCCCAAAGGCATCGGTGCCTCTTCCTCCTCCGACAGGGGCCTTGTAGCTCAGGGGGCCACCCTCCTCTGGCTCTCCCGCAGCCGCGGGCGGGCTCGCCTCGTCCCCCTTCGGAGCGGGAGCGACGGCGGCCTCTTCCGCCTCTCAGCGAGACAAAAAGGTAACGATACCACGACTCCCCGGACATCTGCTGGGGCGCGTTCTGACCAGGATGACGAGGCGAATGCAGCGGTGGCGACGAGGGCCTCCCAGGAGGCCCGAAAAAGGGAAGAGGAGGAAGGGTAGCGGTATGGGTGCCGTTTCCTCCTCTAAGCCTCCGCCTCCGCGCTCGTCATCTGCGACCCATCTGCGGGCGCCGCACGCCGCCGAGAGCGCGGAGGGGGCGCCCTGAGCCGAGGTAGCTCAGCGGGGCACCGCCTCGTCCTGCTGCCACCAGACCCAGCTCTGCGGACACTCTTCGACGTGACCACCTGTGTAAGGAACGGCGCACCACTGGTCCACCATTGGGGCGCTGGTGCGGCAGCGGAGAAGGCGAGCAACACAGTGGATGCTGCTGCTGCTGCTGCTGCTCGTCCTGCCCCTCCCGTGCCGCCCACCTGGATGCTACGGAAAGACCTGCCGATCGCAGAGGTCGCGAGGTCCGGCCAGCCGCCCCGAGTGGTCGGGGAGCGGCTGGCCCCAGAGGCATCGAGGATACAGTCGGGGCGCTGACCTAAGGAACCCTAAATAAGGAACGAGCCCCTTTTTTCCATAAGTTAACCTTCGATTTCCTGTCGAAAACATAAGGAAAGCCTGAGGCAAGCTGCGAAACAATTAAAGAACACGGAGCCCCTCCCCAACGAAAAGGGTTCCTTCTTCAGGGCCCCGACTGTACATAGGTGGCGGCATCCGAAACCTACCCCCCACCAACCGTCGACGCTCCCAGATCGATGGGAGGCTGGGCCGGGGCTCGGATTTCGCACAACGCGGTCGATGAACTCCGAACCCTGCCCCTGCCGCCCATGAGTCGTGGATCGGCGAGGGCAGGGTCCGAATCCCGCCGTCGAAGATGGAGGCCCATCGAGCATGGGCCTCCTGCTTTTCCCCCGTACCCCTCCCTCCTCCTCCAACCCCTCCCTCCTCCCTCCTCCCTCCCTCCTCCCGCATCCTGTTCCCCCCTCCCTCCCTCCTCCTCTTCCCTCCCCAACCACAAAGGTCTAGGGGTCCAAAGACGCCAAAAACCCTCGACTTTTGTGGTTGCCCGTTTTCAACACGAAAGGTGCATTCCCGTGTGGAGCGTAGTGTTTGCCCGTTGTCATAGCGCTGTTCAAATATGCTTGACGTCACCACTCTGGGCGGTTGTGCTTCAAACGTGCGAAACTAGTCAAAAGCGAGAAGTGGAGAGCACAACTAGAGGCCTCCCAGATGGGGTCCGAGTAGATAGGATTGGACGATCGTGCCGCATCGCCGATGCATCGACGATGCATCGGCGACGTCGGCGGTGCATCGGAGATGCAGGCGTGGAGAAAATCGGGATCCACATCGAGCCGCATCGCCGATGCATGGGCGATGCGGAGCGATCCTTCGGTAAGCAGGGTGTTTCTTGGCACGGGCTTCCACTGTACCGTTTGCGAGAGTACCCGTGCTGCTGTCCATGCGCCCCAGATCACGACCTCTCTAAAGATCGGACCTTGGATTCGAAGAAGAAAAACGCCAGAAACATAACCTTTCGGTGCTCCGCGCGGATTTCTTGGATCCGCGCTGGACCCCGCTCCCTGATGCGCGGAGCGCGCCAGGGGCAGCGCCGGAGGCGCCACCAGGGGGCCCCAGCGCGGCGTGCGGACCGCCCGAAATCCATGCTTCTGGTGTCTTTCTTCTTCTGCGCCTTCCGGTGCAGACCCGTCACGCTGCCGCCCATCGTCGCCACCGTCGTCGGCGGGGCCGCCGATCGCCGCCGCCGCCGGTCGCCGATCATCGAAAGGGGGAATAGCAAAAGGGGGGATTGAGAATCACCTCACGTAGCTGATTCTCCCTGCGCCTCCCGGCGCCGGAGGCGGCAATGTATCGAGGAATGGGCCCCTCGGTGAGGCCGAAACCAGCTGCATGCAGCAAATTTTCGTCCCCCCCCCACCCGTTCCCAATCCCCCCCTTTCGTCCGGCCCGAGATCAGCGGCGCTCCGGACTCCTCCTTGCCGCGCACCACGCAGCGGCAGGGCGGCCCGGCCGGGGGGGCGGCGGCCGCCAGCGCTGCGCGCAGGCCGCCCGCGCGCACCTGGAGGCTCGATCGCGGCCATCCTGCTGCAGCCGTCTCCTGCAGCTCGTGCACCTCCTCCTCCTCCTCCTCCTCCTCCTCCTCCTCCTCCTCCTCCTCCTCCTCCTCCTCCTCCTCCTCCCCTCTCTCCTCCTCGTCCTCCTCCTCTTGGTCCTCCTTATCCTGCTTATCCTCCAACTCCTCCTCCTCCTCCTCCTCCTCCTCCTCCTCCTCCTCCTCCTCATCTTCATGCTCGTCCTTCTCCTTTCCTCCTCCTCCTCCTCCGACTCCCCCCCTCCTCCTCTCGCCCTCGACTCCTCCCACGCTGCTCCTGATGCTTCTTCTCCCTCTCCTGCTTCTGCTCCTGCTGATGCTTGTGGTCGTCCCCTTTGCCCAGCAGTGAGGAAAGCGAGGAGGGGAGGCGATGCCTCCTCCTCCTCCTCCTCCTCCTCCTCCGCCTCCTCTTCATCATCACCACCACCACCATCACATCACCATGTCCATCACCGTCACCATCACCGTCACATTTACCATCACCATCACCATCACCATCACCATGACCATCATCAGTATCAGCATCAGCATCAGCATCAGCATCAGCATCATCATCATCATCATCATCATCATCATCATCATCAGCATCATCAGCATCATCATCATCATCATCATCATCATCGTCGTCGTCATCATCATCATTGTCATCACCATCAGCGTCCTCGGCATAATCATCAGCAGCATCAGAAGCAGCAGCAGTATCAAACTCAGCATCATCGTCATTACCAGCACCATCATCATCCTCATGATCCTCCTCCTCATCAATATCATCATCAACACCAACTTCCTCACCATCAGCATCAGTATCAACATCATCATCAACAACATCAGCAGATTCATCATCACCATCACTATCATCAGAGTCAACATCACCACTAGCATCGTCATCATCATAAGCATGAGCATCAGCATCATAATCATCATCGTCATCGTCATCATCAGCATCATCAGCATCATCATCATCATCATCATCATCATCATCAGCATCACCGTCCCTGCTTTATCATGCATACCTCTCCTCGTTCTAGTCACGCCTTCTCTGCTGCTAAATATCCTCTCCTGCTGACGCCTGTCCCAACTCTTCTAAACATCGTCCTCAACATTATCCTTCCGCGGTATCCCTTCCTCCTTCCCGGCGTCCCGCTCATTCTCGATTGGGGGCGCAGGGCGACAGCGGTCAAACTTATCATGATAAGGGGAACCCGTTCGGCACGCGAACCCTCCCTTACGCCCTCCCTCGTATCCTGTTCTCCCCCCCTCTCATCCTCCCTTGGATATAAGCATATCCGTCCAAACAGAAATACAACCAAGACAATGTGTGATCATGCAGGCGTGCCTTTCGACAATGAAACATGCGGGAAGAACGCAAACTCCAAACACAACATCTCCACAATTCCCCTTTCCGTCACCCCTCACCGCTGGTGCCTCCCCGTCCCTTTCCTCATTGTCCTCCTCCTCCTTCACCTCCTCTCCACCACCACCACCACCACCATCACCACCACCATCACCATCACCATCATCATCATCATCGTCATCATCATCAGCATCATCATGATCATGATCATGATCATCATCATGGTCATCAGCATCATCCTCATCACCATCCTCATCATCATCCTCCTCCTCCTCATCATCATCATTGCCATCATCACCATTCATGTGAATCATCATCATCACCATCATCATGATCGTCATTTTCATCGGAATCAACATCAACACCGCGATCAACACCAACACAGTCGATATCATCATCAGCATCGGAACCACTATCATAAGCATCAGCATAAGCCTCAGCCTCAGCCTCAGACTATCCTCACCCTGCGCCTCGCCTCGCCTAAAACCTTCCGATCCCCCCCTTCCCCCCTTCATCCTCCCACCTTCCCCCTCCTCCCTCCTCCGCCCTGTTCCCCACCCCTCTCTCCCCTCTGCCGCCTCCTGCCAGTTGGCCCCTCTCTCCCTCCTCTGCCCCCTCCTGCGCCCTCCCCCCCCCCTCCTCCCTCCTCTCTCCTCCTGCGTCCTCCTCCCCCCTCCGCCCCCCCCCCTCTCATACCCAAACATGCGGCGTCCTGATCCCTGCAATAATCCCCAGACGTCCCGACCCTGTCTCCAGAACAAGCTTCTCATCCCGGGTTGTGTTTTGACGGGCCGGGGGCCCTGCGAAGGCCCCCAGAGACAATGAGAAACCAAAACCACCCGTCATCGTGTTTCCTGACGCGAACATGTCTGGCAAGGCACGAACTAACCAATGCTTTCCGTTTCCGTGGTCCATCGTATTGTTCCCGTTCCGCCTGTGTTGCACAACGAGATCAGAACGAAAACGGTGCGCGAAATTGCCCAAAACACCGTCTGGCTAGCACCCTGATGTCTGGATGCCCACCTCCATCCCTACTACTGAAACTCCTTCTCCTCTCCTCCTCCTCCGACCTCCTCCTCCTCTGCGGACAAAACTTATATCCATATCCACTGCGCTTCGGGGTATTGGCACCCGTTCCTGAAAAAGCTAGGACGCCGCGGGTATGGACATAAGTTTTGCCCGCATCCTCCTAAGTGCTCCTTCTCCTCCCCAAGTCTTCCCCCCGCCCCTCGCCATCGCTCGGACCTCCAATCCCCGTGCCCTTGTTTGGTTTCGTGCCTGCATGTGTTCCGCAAGCTGATGATACATACACATGCGTGTAGACATACATGCGTATATATACACACGGTCAGGATTTCGATTGAAATATGTTTGCGCCTGCACGTTGTTATGTGTTTCGTATTATGTTTCATCACGCGTTTGTGCAAATACACGCATATATGTCTTATGTGTTTGTTACATTTATCTCTCCCTGTCTCCCTGGCAGATGCATCTTCCCTATTC